TGCCTCAGGGACCTTGCAAACTTTTTGAAAAGTAATGAGAGAGATTTTCTCTGGTATTATTTATACATTCTTCCAAGGATAAATTTCTGATTTCAAACTCACTCTTCAAAATTGATTGTTGCTTGTTTTCAAGGCACAAGGTAAGCTTTTATATTCAATATATACTTCTAGTGAAAAATGAAATTGGTGTAGAAGCAGTGGGGCAACTACATGTTCTATCGTTTTGGCTCAGATCTGGTCTTTGAGCACTTTCTGAAGCATTTAAATACAAAAACATTTTAATCGGCAGAGAATACAATGATATTTATGAAATGCTATGTTGCTTTATTTAAGAGGATCGCAAAAATCTAGTATAGATGATCCTTTGAATACGTGATGAATTCGTCCTGTTTACTAAGTGTTGACCTGTCATTGTCACCAAAACAGGGTGCAACAACAATTCTATAAACTCCAGAAGGAGTATCATGAAACTACCAAGAAGCGTACTCTGTGTTCTCTATCATTTCCCCACAATTTCACTTTTTCATTACTTGCCTATATAGCAAATCTGATATTGCATCGATTAAAAGAGCATATACTGGAGTAAATTAGACATGGGGTTAAATAAAAATCAAATAAAAAGATTTAAAACAGTGTTTGCACATGAACAGACCTACAGGCTAGATTCAATCCTCTGTACTGTGAGTTTTCAGCCTCAGTATCTGATATCCAGCTAAGTGTCGACAGTAACGACAGTAAAAATGAGTGTAAGGTAGGAGATAGGAGGGAATTCTTTCAACACAAGTTAAAATGTGGTTTGCAAAAAAGAAATTAAACAAAAGAGGACTTGAAGATCACCGGGTTCTCATGCAGAATGGTTGACACAACCACTCATCTGGGAGAGAAAAAACATAGTGAGTAAAATGGAAGGAAACAAAAGAGTTAAGTGGAAGTAGTGTTTGAGAAACCACAAATCAAAGAGCAAAGCTACCAGACTTCAAAACCCACCCACACCTTGAGCCCTGTGTGTTGCCACCTACCTTTCCTATATCAATATATAGAGCATCATTCCATCCTAATAACAATATGGTAGTTAGCACTCATTATGTTAACTTTTGTCATGCATTATTTCAGTTAACTCTCAAAATAAGCCCTGGAAGTAGGTCACAAGACAACCTTCATTTTACTGATGGATTAAATAAGATCAGGAAAGTGAGGTTAAGGCCAATGTCTCCCAAGAAATAAGTGGTAGGCTTTTAAGTTAATGCAAATGCAGCTCTTTCCAGAGCCCGAGATTATTACCCAATGCTATACTTCCTTTTCAGAATTGGCTTTAATATTTGTACATGACTCTAATGCTGCATTTATTCCTCTGTATCTATTATGCATTTATTTGTGAATTGCTCTACTATGAAAGCCCATGCATTATGCTTGGTATAAAGAAGACAATGATTAAATGTAAATTGGGCAATATTACAATTAATTCAAATTTATTAACAGCATTTACATTTGGAACCATCTTGATTGGGTCTAAAGCTTGGCTCAGTATGTTAATACTTGGGTGATCTTGAATAAATTATTCAACCTTCTTGTTACCAAGTTACTTCATACATAAACAGGTACAATAACTAATCAACCTAATGGGGTTACGAAAGGATTAAATACACAGATAAAGTGCCTGGCATTTGACAACTATAGGAGTTTAAGAAGTTAGACTCAAAAGATCTTATTTGGCAGATAGATTTTTTCGAGGTATGTGACCTTGGGGAACTCATTATCCCTTTCCTGTGACTCAGTTTACTCACATACAAAGTTAAGAAGTTGGAAAGATGATTCATGAAGACCTTGTCTTTTCAAATATCCATTACCATACAGGTAAGTTAACCACTAAATTGTGTTATGTCCATACATTAGATCTGGATAATAATGGGGGGAAAACTATTGTTATAATAAAATAATGCTTATACATTTCTATTTCTGTGCAGCTCTTTTTTGTTCAAACTCTGTTCCCTTATAAATATTTGCTACAGAGCACCTTGTGATTCTAACATAACATCAATGGAGAATAATAAGAAACTGCGTGAATTCATCCTGCAAGGACTAACCAATGCCCCAGAACTGCAGGTTTCCCTCTTTATAATGTTTATGCTCATCTACCTCATCACTCTGATTGGGAATCTGGAGATGATCATGTTGATCCTGCTGGATTCTCGTCTCCACTCTCCCATGTACTTTTTCCTCAG